CAGAATTCGTTCAGGAGGAGGCAATCTGCGTCATGGTCCATTGATCAACGGTCCAGGGAAGCCGCTCAAGTCCCAGACAAGAGATTCAGATTTCTTGGAGCCATGAGGATCACTCGGATCTTTACAGTTCTCCTGATAATTCTTCCTGTTGCGCTCATATTATTGATTATCTTTCAATATGAGCCGCATGATCATGTCAGTGCACTTGCAGAAGCCAGAGTTATGGAAGTGAGAGCTCTACCTCAGGTGACGTCAACCCTCCAGGAACCACAATCAAATGTTGCATCACTTGAGGATCAAAAAGGAAATGGCGGATACGTTGATGATCAAAAGAGAAGCGCTGCATCACTTGGTATAATATTTCTTTCTGTCATGTTCCTTTTATTTCCCTGTATTCTTTTTCTTATTCTTCACAACTTCACATTTATTGCAAAATTCATTACCAGAACTTCCCTGTTAAAACTATGATAGCAGCTAAATTTTTTGAAGAAATATAATAAGCTCATTTCAGTGTCTTTAGTGTTGAATATCCTCAACCTGCAAGCTTTCAGCTAGTCCCAACAAATGGACGTTCATTCTTTTAACTGAGCAAATTTATCCTACGGTCTTAGAGGCTTCATAACTGGTAGTATGGACATATGTGTTTGGGAGTGCTACAGGCTGTTGCTTGATGTTGTAAGAGTTCTAGACCATCTAGCTACTGGCTATGAGTCAAAAGATTTGCTTCTGTACTACTACGAACATTGATGCATAGAATAATAAAATCTCTTTTCAGCACCCGGTAGATCTTTTTTCTGTTTGAATTGTGCAACAAAATCTAATTATGCTAGATCTCGAATTTTCAATTTTATTCTCTGTTTCAACTAGTTGATTTTTTAGGTTATAAGTATTTTCTTTCTATTTGACAGGTTTACAGAGTTCCTCACAACATCTTAATGTGTCTATAGACAAACTGCTTGATGGACTTCTTGCTGCTGGTTTTGATGAAGATTCTTGCTTGAGTCGGTACCAATCAATTTTATATCGCAAAATTTCACCCCGCAAGCCTTCTCAATATCTCCTTTCTAAACTTAGAAAATACGAAGATCTTCATAAACGTTGTGGACCCAGTACTCGATCTTATTATAGAGCTACAAAGTTACTTGAGTCCAGTCAGAACATTGGTTCTGCAGACTGTAAATACGTTGTATGGATGTCTTACAGTGGTCTGGGTAACAGGATAATTACCATAGCTTCTGCATTTCTTTATGCTCTTCTGACAGATAGAGTCCTCCTTGTCGAAGGCGGAGAGCAGATATCTGGTCTCTTCTGTGAACCATTTCTAGATACATCGTGGTTACTACCTTCCAATTTCCCTATAATCAGTCAATTTAGTAGCTTTGATCAGAACTCTGCCCGCTGCTATGGGAAGATGCTGAAGAAAAACATGATAAATGCTTCAATTAAATCATTGCCACCTTATATATATCTTCATCTGGCTCACAACTATGATGATTATGACAAAATGTTCTTCTGTGACAGGGACCAAGCTTTTATTGGGAAAGTCCCTTGGTTGATTATGAAGACAAATAACTATTTTGTCCCCTCTCTTTTCTTGCTCCCATCTTTTGAGAATGAGCTGCAAAAATTATTTCCAGATAAATCAACCGTTTTCCATCACTTGGGGCGTTATCTTTTTCATCCTACAAATCATGTCTGGGGACTAGTCAAAAGATATTACCAAGCATACCTAGCCAGAGCAGATGAGAGAATTGGCATTCAAGTGAGAGTTTTTGATGAAAAGACTGACAAGTTTTTACGTGCAACTCATCAAATTATTGCCTGTACCACGAAGGAGAAATTGCTACCTGAAGTAGACAAGAAAGAATCTGCGGTTGTTGCATCTGCAAACCCAAAAACGAAGGCTGTTCTAGTTACATCTTTAACTTCTGGGTATTATGAAAATCTAAAAAGCATGTACTGGGAATATCCAACTGTGACAGGGGACGTGATTGCAGTTCATCAGCCAAGTCATGAAGGGCACCAGCAGACAGAAAAGCTTCTGCACAACAAAAAGGCCTGGGCGGAAATCTATCTCCTCAGCTTGACTGATTCATTGGTCACTAGTGCAGGATCCACATTTGGTTATGTGGCTCAGGGTCTTGGGGGTTTGAGGCCGTGGATTCTTTACAAGGCTGAAAATGGAACCAACCCGGATCCTCCTTGTTCTTGGGCTATATCTATGGAACCTTGTTTTCATGCTCCCCCCTTCTATGACTGCAAAGAAAAGAGAGGAATTGACACAGGGAAGCTTGTCCCTCATGTGAGACATTGTGAAGATGTGAGCTGGGGCCTTAAAGTGGTTGATGATTGATGAAGGTTGAAGTGCTACACATCTCCTTTGCATATTGTTTGAGTAGAAGTAGCAATAATTTGCCTGGAAAGGGTTGGTAATTGGTCCATCATAGGATCATTTCTTTAAACGGTATCTTTTAGTATTCTTGCATTGCAAGATACGAATGTAAAATGAAATCAAATAGACTACGTAGAAGCTTGTAGATAGAAGTAGGCACATCGCTAGAGCAGTAAATGAAATATATGCATAATATATTTATATAATACTATAAAAAAATTAACTATATAATAAAAAGTATATGAATAGTCTACTAAAAATCTAAATAATTATTTATCCATTTTCATTCTCATCTATAACCTTAAAATTAATACATTTATTTCTGTATATTCATTTTTAAATCATCTGTCAGATTCTCTTTTTTAAAATAATAATAAAATTTTTTTTAGTGATCGCATATTCAATATCCATATTAATTCTTATAAAAAATTTTATAATTTTGTAACACATATATTATCAATTTAAAAATTAAGAACGATATTTCGTCATTATAGGTAACATATAGAAAAAGCAAGTAGCTTCTAATTTCTTCTTCCTTCCTTTGCAAAAGTGATGAATAAACGCAATATAGTGATTTATTCCCTGTTTTTCTAGTGATGTAGTCATTAGATATCTAATATGGCAAGTCATGTGATGATGATGTTGCATCTAAGGATTCCTTAATGTCTTCAAAAAGGAAACTCATCTTTCTATCTATATGTCATAAAAACCAATAATCAAAATTATACAATCAATTCAGTTAGTAATAATAACATCTAAATATAAGTTACAAAAACAGTATATAAATATAAGCTGATAGTTTACTGGTGAATAAGTGAGTACACAATTTAATATCCAACAATATGAACACATAAGTAAACATAGTTCAATGGAGCATTTAACTCAAAATTAAAAGAGAATAATTTAAGAAAATTTTGAAGAGAAAATCAAAATTTTCCAGAATTTGTTAGAATTTCAAAAGCTTAATTAATCAAATAAATCGAATTAATATTAATTTAAGATCCACAATTTTGAAAATCATTTTTTGGGTTTATAAAGGTTTTAATTGTTCATCAACCACGTGGAAAAGATAAATTTTGAAACAAGTTACTTTTCTGAAGTTACTTAATCTTTTATAAAATTATTTAAACTATAAAAAATAGGAAACTAAAATTTAAACTTTCTTTAAATTTCAGAAATAATGGATTAAAAGATTAGTTTAACCACTATTTGATTTTTTTATTTTTTATTTTTATTTCTGTTTTATGTAATTTGTATTTTGTTTATCACAATTCCCGACTATATAATTATGAAAAGTTCCTACACAGGCAACAAGGGTAACCTATAGCCACACACTCGGTTAGAAGAGCACACAATCTCGCCATGGAAGCTGTTGCATCATCTTCAGCAGCGTCGGCAATGAAAGCTGTTAGTTTCCTTGCAACTCCTCTTACCCCGAGAATAGCTGTTCCATCTTCCTTAAAGTCACCCACGACAAAGCCCTACATTCTCACTCTTCACTCTTCAAACCCTCATTTAAGAGGCAGGCCCGGTGTTTTCTGCCTACCCAGATGCTCGTCTCGCCCACACAACGAGACCAGTAAGGAAACAGACCGAGACTCAACCTCCGAGCCCCATTCCTTTTCAAAATCCCAGTACCCAGCGATGCCCCTTTCGACTGAATCAATTTCTGCATCTTCCTCACCGTCATCTTCCAGAACTGGATTGGTTCTTGATTTGGGTCCTTCAGGTTCATGGGACAGTGCAGAGATTGGGTCGCCGGTGGTGAAGAGATTTCTCAGTGACGAAGAAGAGAGGTGGTACATGTGGTATGACGGGCATTCTTGGGAAAGATCGGGTTCGGATTCTATTGGATTAGCTGTTTCAAGCAATGGGATTCATTGGGAGAGAGGTCAAGGCGCAGTAAAATCAAGTGGGGATGTTGGTCTGGTGATGAGTTGCGGTAAAGATTGGTGGGCATTTGATACGGAGAGCATTAGGCCTGCCGAGGTTGTCATCATGTCAAGTACAAAAGTTAGAGCCGCTAGTTCTGTTTATTGGCTCTACTACACCGGTTACAGCAATGAGAAAGTAGATGTATTGGATGATTCTTTGGGATCCTATTTAGAAAACCCAGAGAGATTTCGCTTTGACGATAAAAACGACGGAAAAAGGAGGATTCCAAAGTCCTTGCCTGGTCTAGCAATAAGCCAGGACGGGAGGCATTGGGCTAGAATTGAAGGGGAACATCATAGCGGAGCACTGTTTGATGTGGGATCTGATAGAGACTGGGATTCACTGTTTATAGCCGCACCGCAAGTTGTTTTCCATGGAAACGGTGATCTTAGGATGTATTATCACTCGTTTGACGTTGAAAATGGAGAGTTTGGGATTGGCATTGCTCGGTCCAGAGATGGAATCAAATGGGTTAAACTGGGAAAGGTCATAGGAGGAAGAAGAGGGTTTTTTGATGAGTTTGGAGCAGTGAACCCTTGTGTTGTGAGGAACAAGAAAGATGGCAAGTACTTGATGGCATATGAAGGTATTGGAGGAGATGGGGAGAGGAGCATTGGATTGGCAGTGTCCTGTGAAGGGTTGAAGGATTGGAGGAGGGTGGAAGATGATGATGAGGCAGTGCTTAAGGCAGGGGAGAGAGAAGAATGGGATAATAAGGGGGTTGGATCACCTTGTTTGATCCAAATGGATGGAGATGTTGATGAGTGGAGACTGTACTACAGAGGTATTGGAAATGGAGGAAGAAGTGGGATTGGCATGGCAGTTTCTGAGGGAAGTGAAGCCAGAAGGTTCAGAAGATGGACAGGGTTTCATTTATAACAGGAGAAGGTAGTCCAATGTTGGTTTCATTTATAAATGGAGTTAAGTCATGGTGACTGAGTTTCTTACGGAGTTGCTTGGGCAATGGTGATTCTTTCCTTCTTTTTCTCTGTAATATGTTATTTTTAGTAATAATTCAAAATTGCTTGCTGAATTTATATATTAACCAAAGGAAATCACAACGAATCTCACTGCCACCTTTAGAATCTATCTCCATGGAGGATCTGACTATAAAAATAAATTCTTGTATTGAACAACTTGAAATTAAGAAATTTCATAACGCTCGCACTTTCATAAAAGGTATCCTTGTACTAAATAATTAGATATTTTGAAATTTCACAAGGAAGCACGACAGTATGTGTTTATACACATAAATGTTCATGAGGAAGAATAATTTTTCTTGTTCTTTTATCATGTCTAATGAAGAGATGAATAAGGGAGAGAAACGAAAAGAGAAAAATAGAGAGAAAAGGTGGTTGGCATGGCTAGTGGCCATAACTCACTGACCTCATCGTGCTACTTTCATCCCCAGCATGTTTACCCACCTCAAAACTGATCAAAGGAGGCGGTGAAGTGTCGAATAGTGCCCTCTTAACTCAGAACTTCTAGTATATCTTCCAGAGTTGGACAATACCTCAGCCAAACTGACCTGTGTCATTAGGTAACTCAATATCTACTTGGTTTTGCAACTTTTCCTCCAATTGAAAACGATTGCTTAACACGCATCGACCCATCATCCTGCTTGCATTTCAGAGGCAGAATCATTCCTAAGCTTATAAGCATACAGGTTCCTTTCATTATCCTATTTCTCACAGACAATGTACGGATTGTATCGAATTATTCACAATCATGCAAAATCATTCCTAAGCTCCTATTCAGACTTAACGATCAACACAAGCACATGCAAATCATAATAACAAGCTCCACAAATATGCATCGACAGATCTATTTTATTGATTGTAAAACCTATAATATAACTAACAATAAAGAACAAGGGCAATAATAATGCTACTGAAACAAAAACTAAGTTAGTCTTTCAAAATATTCCATAATCATGTAATCTCATAGAGACACCACTGAAACCCAACTATTCCATAATCCTTGGTACATCTCTTTCTTTGTTTTCTTACTTGCTCTCTCTTTTTCTCTTTCCCCGACTGCCCTCTCCCCAAAAATTCCTCCCACTTTAGCTCTTGGGTCCCCTCAACGCTGAGTCATCACTTCCACCTTTATCGATTCCATTGCTCCAGAAGCTCTCCCGTTGACCTTGGCACTTCTGTCTTCCCCGAGCCAAACGCCTGAAAATGTAGAACGACCAAAAAAAAAGAAGAGCAAAACTCCTTTCACCTTCAGCTTTTACGATTTTTACTCTCGGATTCGGTCTCCCTCACCTTCAATTTTTTCCCTAGATTCTCTCTCTTCCTATCTAGGCATGAAGCAGACAGTTGGAACTCTTCTCCATGCTCGCGTTCTGGGCTGTTCTCGATCACGAAGCCATAACCTGTCCTCACGACCCCCAAAGTTTTCCCCTTTTGTGCTAACATAACCGTGTTGCAGGTGAAGAAGAATAAAAGAGAGAGAGCTCGTCAAACCGGCATCGTTTTGAGGAGCCAGGCTTGAGGTCGGGCAGATGGGGTCGAGTCCTAACTCAACAGTTATAAGAATGAGTTGGACCAAATGGAAACATTTGGGCTACTTTTTGTTATGAGGTGGACTTTTTGGACGACTTTTTTTTTTTTTCTTCTCCAATTTTCTCTCTCTCTTTTTCTCTGTCTTTCCCTTTTTTCTTCTTGACCACCGAAAATAAAATTAAAATAATAATTATTATTATCATTGTTATCAAAAGGTAAGTAAATTAAATCTTTTCATCAGATTTTCACAATTGTTTTTACTACTAGTATTGTCATAAATATTTATTTTATGGTAGAAAAAATTGGAATATGATAATTTGGAATGTGATACTTGTTCTTATAGTACTCATTGTAAATTTAAACTATATGTTGAACGCACCACATATGATACCTGAACATATAAAAATAATCACATGATTTCGAGTATGACTCTAAATAATCTTATTTATAGAGAATTTCTTAACCTATTATGTTTTAAAGGAGAGAAAAATATTATAAATAAAAACTACATTTCAAGTTAAAAAATAATTGATTTTGAATTCACGATTAGAATTGCATATAAATAATTTGGCTTTCGAACCAGGTTCGTTACTAAACTGTAAAAGTAATTATTTATTATTTTAAATAAAAATTTATTAATCATTTATTATTTTAAACAGTTGGTACATCTCTTATTTTAGAAGAAATTATTAATTTAAACTAAATTGTATTTCATGTATTATCATTTAAAAGTACTCGAATAAATGTATTTAATTAACAATAATTATATATGTTGTTGTAAATTAATTATTATAAGAGGCGCATAAGTAAGCCTTTTATTGGAAAATTAATTGGGGAGCATTGGCAAACCACTTATATGTAGTAAACTTTTTTGTATTTTTTTCTTCTAAATTGATAGTTAACAACAATGTCTAGTATATCTTAAATTTTAGTTAAGCTTGAGTAAGGAACTCTTTATTTTTATGGTCTTTTGTAAGAAAATTTGACATAAAAGTTAATTAATTTATTTATTTATTGAATTCAACACATTTTAAAAAAATTAACAGAGAGTTAGAGTTACATACAATTCGAAAATGATACAGCCATAACGTGGTTGAAAGACTCATTGATAAAATTTTTAATTTCTTTACTCATTTCTTTCTATCTAAGTATTATACACAAATATTTTAAAACTTTAGTTAATGGAAGACTCCTATGAAAGGGGATTTGTGCACTTTTTATAGATAAAATAGATATCAAAATACATTCATGATAAGTGAATATGTTGATAACCATTTCTAAAATGATTTTTAATTCACATAAAATATAATAATTATATAATTTATTTTAAGATTATTCACTCCATCAATCTATATTTTTTTTATAATGGTTATCTATTATATTAAGTGTCATTTTAGTTGACTTCAACTGTTATGAGTGGATGAGAAAAATAAAATATTAAGTTAGTGGGTCATCCACTTAATTACTGAAATTTCACCATAACAAATATGAGTTAGCTTATTCTTTGATCATAGACTCCTAACCAAATAAATTTTTTATCTTTTTTAAGTATTTTTCAACAGATTATTTTAAATTAAAATATATACAATGTACACATAAGTTTTGTACTTCTATAAACAAAAATCAAGAAAAGAATGTCCGTTAAAACTTGAAGTTATATTCTTCTCTAGACTTTATAGTCATGGGTATAAGAAATTTATTAATGTAGGGAATTTAAGATCTGAATCTGAATCTAAATAAATTCAAAATACTCATCAAATTATCAAGATTTAGTTTGAATCAGAAGCGTAATCGAATCCATAATGGAAAATAACAACACGTTCTGGGTTGATCTTCTAAATTAGCATGTAATCCATTAGAATTCTCTCACTCTCTCTATTTTTATGATGGTATGTCAAAA